GAAGGCATCTAAATAAATAAATATATATTAAAATATATATATATAATATATATATATATATATATATATATTATGTGGATATATTCACCATATATGAATATAAATATGCATGCATGCATGCGTTTGTATGCGTCTGCATGCATGCATGCAAGAGCCATGCATGCATGCGAATCTGTTGGAGGTAATTCAAAGCCCCAAAGTGTTGCATGCATGCATGGCAGTAAGTACCGGGTTAAACCAAGAAAAAACAAAAAAATATATTCTTAATATGAATAAAAGTAAAGGGGCTGCATGCGCGGGATCCCGCAGGCCAAAGCCCCAAAATGATTAATGCATGCATGCAAAGTATGCATGCATGCATGCATGCATATTTTGCATGCATGCGGTAATGGGTTGGATGCCTACAGAAAACTCGAAAGCCCCAAATTAAATAAAATAAGCAAAATATTGATACTGGCCGAACTTTCTACGAGTGCATGCATGCATTTATATTATGCATGCATGTATATTATATTATGCATGCATGCACGTATATTATATTATGCATGCATGCGTAATATACTTGCTTGCAGAGACATTAAATGCGAGTGTGCTTGCTTAATTTAATAGCTAATAGGAAATGCAAGTAGTATGCATGCATGCCTTTGTTGCATGCATGCATGCAGATTATAGGTGGGAGTATGCATGCATGCATGCATGCATGTAAAGGCTACTCTCTGCATGCATGCATGCATGCATGCATTAGGCGAGGGAAGCAATTTATGATTATTATCTATTTTGTCAAGAAGAGTAAAGGCCGAGAAGGCCGGGGTGCATGCAATTAAAAAGATAAATAAATAAATCTGTCGCTTCGAGGCGGAAACCCCAAACCGCTGCAGGCAGACACCAGCCCCATTCTGCATGCATGCATGCATTATGCATGCATGCATGCATTGTGCATGCATGCATGCAGAATGGTGAGAAAAAAGAGCAAATCTGAAGGTTGTCTATCGGTAATAAGAACACAGACCGCTGCTATTGCTGCTGCTGTTGCTGCTGCTGCATCTGCTGTTGCTGCTGCTGCTGCTGCAGCAACGCGAGATAAACCCGCTGCATGCGGTATATACACCGCATGCATGCACCTGCTGCTGCGCCGTCTATACAAATCCATGCATGCATGCATGCATGCATGCATGCATGCATCTAGCTTTGATGTCTGAGTGTAGTCGGGAACGCAAAGAAGCGAAAGGAGACAACTCTGTTTGAAGAGACGAAGCTGTCTCCGTCTGTCTCCTCGACTCGCGGTGGAGGAGGGCTTTGGCTATAGTTGTGCATGCATAGGGGACACATCTAAACAAAAACAAACAAACACATATAAATATATATATATTTATATATATATATATATATATATATATATTTATATATATGCATGTATATGTATATATATGGTTAATTATATTTATTTTTTATTGTACTTATTCTATAGCGTTGTGCATGCATAGGGGACACATCTAAACAAATACAAACAAACATACGAATATATATACATATATATACATATATAAGAATAAATATATAAATTTATACGCATTATACACATATACATTATAGATATTTTTATTATGCATGCTATCTATAAGACAGAAAGAGAGACAGAGAAGGAGACAGCGACAGAAAGAGACAGCCTAGATCATAAACCCCAAACCCTAAACCCTAAACCCTAAACCCTAAACCCTTGCTTACAGGGCTTCTACTGAACCAGGTGTCTAGGCAGCTCTTATGGAATATATGTCTGCAGGGTAAAACCCTAACAAGAGCAGAGAAGGTAAACTCCTCAAAGCAAATAGCGCAGCTGCACATACACCCCAAACGCATGCAGCAAAAAAAACCCAATGCATGCATGCACTGACGACCTTTTGGGGCTTGGCTGTTTGCATGCATGCATGCATGCAGGCAAACAAACAAACAAACCCCACAAACGCATGCATCGCTCCTCCCGTACTTGCATGCAAATATATGCCTGCATGCATACAAACCCTAAACCCTAAACCCTTTGCTTACCCTGACTCAATAAAGCTGCTTAAACCCTTTGAGGAGTCCTGGCGATCTTTAGAACTCCTCTCCGCCATTTCTATCTCAGAGGCACCGCCACCCTGAACATGAAAACCCTAAACCCTAAACCCTAAACCCTAAACCCTAAACCCCCAAATCCAAACACTAAAACCCCAAATCCAAACCCTAAACCCTAAACCCTCACGTCCAGACCCTAAACCCTAAACCCCCAAGCATAAACATGAAGCCCCCTAAACCCTCGCCCTATCCCCTGACGCCCCTAAACCCTAAACCCTAAACCCTAAAAACCAGCAGCAAAATAACCCGGTGAGCAGCAGCAGCAACAAAGAAGGACAAAAGAAGCATCAAAGCAGCAGCAGCAAACTAAAACATAAGAAGAAGAGAGCAGCAGCAAAACCTTAAAACCACTTACTCTATCTGCCCGTATGCTGCTGCTGTTTTGTGTCTCCTCGTTTCTTGCTGCTGCTGCTGCTGCTGCTGCATGCAAACCCTCTGCTGCATGCAAACCCTCTACGACAGCCCCATAAGTCTTCGCTGGACACCAGCTGTCTATACGCCGCAGAAAACTTGGAGGCTGTACACACAAACATGCATGCATGCAACAATGCATGCATGCAATAATAATAATGCATGCATGCATATTGAATGCATGCATTAGTGCATGCATGCATATTGAATGCATGCATTATTGCATGCATGCATCTTGCATGCATTTTGAAGGAAATGCTGCGGCGTTACTCTTGCTTCAAAACCTCTCCCTAGGGACAAGGGTTTAAAGTTTAGGATTGAGGGTTTAGGGTTCAAGATCTAGGGTTTAGGGTTTAGGGTTTAGGGTTTAGGGTTTACTTCGGGCCTGGGGGTTGGCCTCGGGATCCGATCCCCGACATTTCGTGCCTCAAACTCTGCGAGGTGATGACGACGACTAAAATAGCGAGAGAGCGAATAAACCACCGTCTGCATGCACAAACCCTAAACCCTAAACCCTAAACCCTAAACCCTAAAGTTTAAACTCTATTGTCTAGAATACAACACCATGAAGCAGCACCTCTCATAAAAGAACAGCAACCCTCACCACCACCCCAGCAGCAAAAGCAGCAGCAGCAGCAGCAACAGCAGCAGCAACAGCAGCAGCAGCAGCAACAGCAGCAGCAGCAGCAGCAGCAGCAGCAGATGCTCACCATAATAGCGAAGACAAATATCCAGTTGATGAATTCCTCAACATCTTCTAAACCACAAACCCGCACGCACTCCAGGTGTACAGACACCGCATGCAGCAGCAGCAGCAGCAGCAACAGCAGCAGAAGCAGCAACAGATGCAGCATCAGCAGCAACAGTGCAGCACATGCCACTGACATTTCTCTACGCATGCAGCAACGCAGCAGCAGCTGCTGCAACAGCAGCAAATCCACAGCAGCAGCTGCTGTCAGCTGCTGTTTCCGCAGCAGCGCGGGCAGCAACAGCAGCAGCAGCCGCAGCAGCAGCAGGGGTTACCTGGAGGTTGCTGCTGCTGTCGGTGGTGTGCTGCTTCATGAAGAAGAGCTGAGTTGCTGCTGCCGCTGCTGCTGCTCAGCAGCGCCAGTCTAAGCCACAGCTCCTTCACAGCAGCAGCACTTCCGCTTCTTAGAGAAGGAGCAGCAGCAGCAGCAGCAACTATCCAGCTACAGCTTGCTGCAGCGGCTACTCCTACTGCTGCTGCTGCTGCAGCACCACACAAACAAACAAAACAAACAAACCCATACACAACGAAACAACAGCAGCAGCAACAGCAACAGTAGCAGCAACAGCAGCAGCAAAAGCAGCAGCAATCGCAACTGCAACAGGGACGCTGGCAGCAGCAACAGCGAAGACGACAGAAACAGCAGCAGCAGCAGCAGCAACAGCGAGAAGGCCAGCAGCAGCCGCAGTAGGAACCCTAGCGCTGGGAATAGTAGCAGCAGCAGCAGCAGCAGCAGTAGAAACAGCAGTAGCAGCAGGAGAGAGAAAGAATTGAAGCAGCAACAGGGAGACAGCTGCATGCTGCTGCTGCTGCTGCAGTTAAGAGACAAGCAGCACTCAGACTTACAGGGGCGCCAGCTAGCTCTCCTCATCCCAGTAGCTGCTGCTTTAGAGTCAGAGTCTGCTGCAGCAGCTGCTGCAGCAACTGCAGCAGCTGCTGCAGCAGCAACTGCAGCAGCAGCAACCGCTGCTGCGGCTCAATCCGGAAAGGGAGGAGAGGCAGATCGCATCACCTCCCCCAGCAACTCCAAGCTGCTGCTGCTGCTGCTGCTGCTGCTGCTGCTGCTGTTGCTGCTGTTGCTGCACTCGCTGCTATTGCAGAAGTGTCTCCTTCTGCTGCTTGCTACTGCTGCTGCGGTGTTCCTTCGCTGCTGCTGCTGCTGCTTGTTGCTACTGGTGCTGCAGCGCTCTGCTGCTGCTGCTGCTGCTGTTGCAGGCCCGTGCTGCAGCTCTCTGTTGCTGCCACCGCTTCTGCTGCTGGCGGCTGCTGCCGTTGCTGCTGCTGCTGCCTTTGCTGCGGTCACTGATTATTCCTGCTGCAGCAGCTGCTGTGGCTGCTGATGACAGCTGCTGTCTCCTGCTGCAGCTTATACAAAAGCAGCAGCTGCTGCTGTTGCTTGCTGCTTCCCTCTCAATAGGGGCCCCTGGGCAGCCCTAGCTGAGTCTGCGGCGATGGCAGGGGCCCCGGAAACCCCCCGGAGATTTAGGGGTTTAGGGTTTAGGGTTTAGGGTTTAGGGTTTAGGGCTTAGGGTTTAGGGTTTAGGGTTTAGGGATGATACCTTCAGGATCTCAGGAGAAGAACAAGCAAAGAAGACTCAAAATCAAATATTATTAGCTGCGTCAGGGGCTGTGAGTGCAGCTACAGCTGCTGCTGCTGCTGCTGCTGTTGCTGCCGCATGCTTCAGCAGCAGCAGCCGCAGCAGCAGCAGCAGTAGCAGCAGTAGCAGCAGTAGCAGCAGCAGCGCTACAAACAGCAGCAGGAGCAGCTTTCAGTGAGATTAGAGAGAGGAATTTAATAATGTGTTTAAGGTTTTATAGTAATAAGAAGAAGAAGCAGCAGCAAACAGCAGCAGCAGCTACGGTGTACGTGCAGCGGCTGTGTGTACAGCGCAGCCCTTCCGGTGTCTATGCAGCAGAAGAATATATAAATAAACAATTTTATTTTTATTTCTATTAATAAAAAACAAACAACAACGGCTTCTTACTCTGTCTCCTGTCTCTCTCTTCCGCATATAACTAATAAACCCTGCACCGCAACCACCTCGAGGGTTTAGGGTTTAGGGTTTAGGGTTTAGGGTTTGGTGTGTGTTTATTATGCCTCCACCGGCGCAGGTGTTTGTTTACTGCGTAATTAAATATTTTATCTTTTACTCGTAATTGTTGTAGTTATAAACAAAGCAAAGCGAAACAGATAAAGTTTATATATAATATATAATATATATTATATAAATATATGCATATCTATATATTATATTGTTTATATATATTATATTGTTTTATAGATCAGCAAACAAGCGCATTTCCAGCAGCAGCAGCAGCAGCAGCAGCAGCAGCAGTAGCATCAGCAGTAGCAGCAGCAGCAGCAGCAGCAGTAGCAGCCGCAAAAGCAGTAGAAGTAGTAGTAGTAGCAACAGCAGCAGCAGCAATAACAGCAGCAGCCTGGACAGCAGCAGCTGCTGCTGCCGCTGCGGAGACTCAGCCTCTTAAAGAAATCTTGTACAGAAGTGTTTGTCTCTTTAAATTTATTTGCGTTATAACGCTGCAGCAGATGCTGTCTCTTAAAAGAGACTGTCTCTAACTCATCCCTGCCTGCACCATTTGTCTCTTCTTTGTCTCTCTTTCTCTCTCTCTCTCTCGCTGTAAATATATATATATATATATATATAACAATATATATATATATATGTACATATATATATATATATATATGTATATATATGTATATGTATATTTATATATATATATATATATCTGTTTAAATAGATTTTGTCTCTGTCTCCTTAAGGAGACTTTGCTGCTGAAAGGAGACACCACTTATTCTCGCTAAGCAGAATCTGTCTCTTATTATCTCTGTCTTCATATTTATATAATATATATATATATATCTATATCTATATATTGTCTCTGTCTCTTTAAAGATATATTGTCTCTATACAAATTATATTTAAAGAGATAGAGATATATTGTCTCTACCTCTTTAAAGATATATTGTTATATATATATATATATATAATATATATATACATATATATATATACATATATATATATATATATATTTAAGTAGAATTTGTCTCTGTCTCTTTAAAGATATATTGTTATATATATATATATATATATATATAAATAGAATTTGTCTCTGTCTCTTTAAAGATATATTGTTATATACATATATATATATATATATATGTATAAATATACATATACATATATACATACATATATATATATATATATATAAATAGAATTTGTCTCTGTCTCTTTAAAGATATATTGTCTCTGTAAATATAATTGTTTTTAAAAGGAGACTCTGTCTCTGTCTCTCTGAAGAAGAGTCTGTCTTTGTTTGTTATAATAATAATATATTATATCTGTCTCTTTAAGGAGACAGATATACTAACTGTCTCCTTTAAAGGAGCAGAAAATAAATAAAAAGAGACAGAGACAAAGAAGAGACAAAACAAATAAATTAATTTATCTAAAGGAGACAGGTACCAAGGCCGACAGCCTCATAAATAAAATAATTTATCTGCAAACACAGCACAACAATATACACCTCAGATAAGAGAGACAGATAAAGGAGACACATTAAAATAAGAGAGACAGATAAAGGACACAGACTAAGAGAGACAGATAAAGAGACAGATTAAAACAAAAAGAGACAGATAAAGGAGACAGATTAAGGCAAGAGAGACAGATAAAGGAGACATATTAAGACAAGAGAGACAGATAAAGGAGACATATTAAGACAAGAGAGACAGATAAAGGAGACAGACTAAAATAATACAGCTAAAGGAGGCAGCTAAAGGAGACAGCTAAAGGAGACAGAGACAAAGAAACGACAGATAACAGAGACAAAGACAGAGCAAGAGAGACAAAGAAGAGAAAGTTGAAGGAGACAGAGACAAAGAAGAGACAGATAAAAGAGACAGAGACAGAGAGACAAATATAAAAAAGAAAGCAGCACCTTATGTGAATGTCTCCTTCTACGACAGGTGGCGAGGAGACAGTTTGTTAGTGCTTACCTTCAGGTGTCTCCTCAGCTTTCAAGCGTCTCCTCGCTGCTGCTGCTGCTGCTGCTGCTGCTGTTGCTGCTGCTGTTGTTGCTGCTGCTGCGAGGACGCAGCGTGGCCTTCTAGAAAAGTTATAAAGGCAACAGCAGCAGCAGCAGACTGATCTCCTGCTGCTAGCGGCAGCAACTCTCTCGGGAAAGCCCCCAACTCAGCAGCATAGTCTCGCATGCACAAGGGGCAAAGCTGCAGCAGCAGCAGCAGCAGCAGCAGCAGCAACAGCAGCAGCAGCAGCAGCAACAGCAGCAGCAGCAGGAGAGGCAGGAGCAGCAACAGCAGCAGGAGAGGCAGGAGCAGCAACAGCAGCAAGACACAAGAGCAGCATGTGCAATAGGGTCATAGAAATATAAAAGGAGACAGTAAAAGACAAAGAGAGACAAAAGGAGACAGAAGAAGACAAAGAGAGACAAAAGGAGACAGTAAAAGACAGATAAAAAGACAGAGGGAGACAGAAAAAGATAGACAGAGACAAAAAGAGACAGAGAGAGAGAAAGAGAGACAAAAGGAGACAAAAGGAGACAGAAGGAGACGGATAAAGACAAAAGGAGACAAAATAATAAAATAATAAACCACGCCAAGACCCAAAGACACAGAAAGGAGACACAGAAAGACAAACAATGCAACAAAAATTAAAACAAAAGGAGACAGAAATTAAAACAAAAGGAGACAGAAATTAAACAAAAGGAGACAGAAATCAAACAAAAGGAGACAGCGAGAATAACAAAAGGAGACAGTGAGAATAACAAAAGGAGACAGAAATTATAATAAAAGGAGACAGCAAGAATAATAAAAGGAGACAGAAGGAGGGAGACTTACAGGGCTTCTGTCTAACCAGGTGTCTATACACCTCCGATGATATATATGAAGACAGGGTAAGACGCGAACCAAGCAAGAAGAAGAAAAAGCTTCGAAGCAAATAGAGCATCTGAGGTGTACAGGCAGCAGAGCAGCAGCAAACACATCAACACATAAATATGTACTTATACGCCTCATGCTCATGCTCATGCTCCTGTTGCTGCTGCTGTTGCGGGCTGCTCTTGCTGTTGCTGCTGCTGGTGATGCTGCTGTAGGTGATGTTGTTTCTGCTGCTGCTGCTGTTGCTCCTGCTGTTGCTGCTGCTGCTGCTGCTGTTGCTGCTGGGTGTTAAGTGTCTCCTTACAGTGCATTCGCATCGTCTAAAGGGCTCTCCTTTCCTGTGCCTTCTAAAGGAGACACATGAGGTTGTGCTGCTGCTGCTGCTGCAGCACCTTCTGCTGCTGCTGCTGCTGCAGCATTGGCATCAGCAGCTGCAGCAGGAACTGCAGCACCCGCCGAACCAGCGGGGGAAACAGCAGCAGAAGCAGCAGCAGAAGCAGCAGTAGGAGCAGCAGATGCACCACTAGCAGCAGCAGGAGCAGCACTATCAGCAGCAGCAGCACTAGCAGCAGCAGCTGCAGGGTCGTGTTCCTGCAAGCCTAGCTCAAGATCCGGCTGCTGCTGTTGCTGCTGCTGCTTCTGTGGCTGCTGCTGTTGCTCCGGAGCTGCTGCTGTTGCTGCAGCAGCAGGAAGTCTGCTGCTGCTGCTGCTGCTGCTGTCATTGCCTCGTGCTGCACCAACCAACTCCAGCGTCTCTCGCACCTGCAGCAATGATAGCAGCAAAGAGAGGTATTTGTATGTGTTGCTGTCTCTGTTTGCTGCTGTCTCTGTTTGCTGCTGTCTCTCTTTGCTGCTGTCTCTATTTGCTGCTGTCTCTCTTTGCTGCTGTCTCTGTCTTCTACTGTCTCTTTTTGCTGCCCCTTTTTTGTCTCCTTCTCCCTTCCCCAGCCCCCCAGGTGTCTCCGCAGGTCGCAGCAGCAGCAGCAGCAGCAGCAGCACCAATAATAGCCGCAGCAGCAGTAGCAACAATAGCGGCAGCAATAGCAGCAACAACAACAGCGGCAGCAACAGCAGCAACAACAACAGCGGCAGCAACAACACCAACAGCGGCAGGAGACAGACAGACAGCAGATGCAGCAGCAACAGCAGCAGCAATAGCAGCAGCAACAGCAGCAGCAGCAGGAGGGACAGCTCCTCCTCACCTTCTCGTAGGGCTTCGCCGGGCACCAGTTCTGTGTGCACACACAAACCCTAAACCCTAAACCCTAAACCCTAAACCCTTAGCCATCATGAAGCTGCACTGCACCTCTACTTCGCCTTGCTGTCCTTGCTGCAGCTTCTAAATTGTTACTGCTGCTTCTATTGCTGCTCCTACTGCTGCTGCTGCTGCTGTTGCTGGTGTTGCTGCTGCTGCTGCTGCTGCTGCTGCTTGCCTCTAAGTTATGCTCCCAGGCCTCCCGTTGCAGCAGATTGCCGAGTCGAGGTAAGCCGATCGCCGACAGCAGCGCAGCAGACTGCAGCAGCAGCAGCAGCAGAAGCAGCAGCAGCAACAGCAACAACAAGAACGCAGCAACGCAATGAAGGTTTGTCTCCGCGGAGCAGGATTCAGCCTCAACGCTAGCAGCAACAGCAGCTGCAACAATAGCTGCAGCAGCAGCAGCAAGAAGGTGCGGCAGCGGCAACAGCAAAAACAACAGTAACTGCAGCAGCAGCAGCAGCAGCAGCAACAGCAGCAACAACAGCAGTAGCAGCCGCAGCGGCAACAGCAACCACAGTAACAGCAGCAACAACACCAGCAGCAGCAGCAGCCGCAGCAGAAACAGCAGCAGCAGAGGCAAGAGCAGCAGCAGCAGCAGCAGCAGCAGCAATGTGCGAACCTCTTGTTCGAGTTGTCTAAGGAGGGCTACATGCTGCTGCCTCCTTTGCTGCGCTTCTCTCTCCCTGTTCTGTTGCTGCTGCTGCTGCTGCCTCTGCTGCAGCTGTCTTGCTTCTGCTGCACGTTGTCTATGCCGCGTTAACACCACCAGAATCGATGTCAACGCCGTCTGCAGCAACAGCAGCAACAGCAGCAGCAGCAGCAACAGCAGCAGCAGCAGCAGCAACAGCAGCAACAGCAGCAGCGAGAACACGGAGATGGTGAAGCAAAGGACGCTGGCAGTAGCTGCGGAGGAGAATCAAAATGCTGCTGCTGCTGCTGCTGCTAGAATTGCTGCTGCTCCTAATATTGATGCTGCTACAATTGCTGCTGCTGCTGTTATTGCTGTTGCCGCTGCTGCTACTGCGAACAGTCAGCAGCGGGGCGGGAAGGAGACACCAAAACAGAGACAGCAGCAGCAGCAGGAAACAGAGATGAAGAAGCAAATAAAAGAGAGAGAGAAGGAGACAGTTTAAAAACGAGCAGCAGATACACCGCAGCAAGTGCAGCAAACTCACAATAAGAGCGAAGACAAACAACCAAATAATCAACTCCCCGGGATCGTCTGCTCCACACAAACCCCACACATATCCTGCTGCCTGCAGCAGCAGCAGCAGCAGCAGAAACAGCAGCAGCAGCAGCAACAACAACAGCAGGAGCAGCACCTGCTGCTGCAGATGTTGCTGCTGCCGCAGTACAGCGACAGCAGCCTCAAAGGAAGCAGCAACAGCAGCAACGCCGCAACAGCAGAAGCAGCTGCAGCAGCTACAGCAGAAACGTTTGGGGTATTAGGAGCAGCAGAAGGAGCAGCAGCAGCAACAGCAGCAGCAGCAGCAGCAAGATTAGCAGCAGCAGTAAGGCCTACTCATTCTCTACAACGCCGACCCCTTTCTAAAGCCCTCGCTGCTGCCCTGTCGCCGATTGCATATTTCAGCTGCAGCAGCAGCAACTGCAGCTGCTGCTGCTGCTGCTGCTGCTGCTCCGCTCCCTGTGCCTCGATAAAAGAAGAGGCTGCTGCAGGTGCTATACCTGCTGCTGTTGCTGCTGCTGCTGCTGTTGCTGCTCCTGCTGCGTTTAACAAGCCCTGAATGATGTTGCTGCTGCACCTCGAGGCTACCTGGCGTGTGGTGCTGCTGCTGCTGCTGCTGCTGTTGTTGCTTCTACAGAGGGGCTCAGGGGTCACCCGCTCGCTGCTGCTGCCCC